AAGTCTCTTTTTTCCTGGTGTTCCATGGGCTTGGTAGATGCTCTGTTCTTCTGGACCTTGACCTGTGCTCCTGGTAACTATATTGAAGTTCAGCTCCAAGGAATGGCTCCATATGGAACAAGGGGAGCCTGGAAAGGGCTCACAGGGAGGTCTGAAGGCTTCATGGAATCACATATCCTGATCCAAGGCTCAACTGGTGGCCTGGGCAGAGCCAGCTCTGTTCTCTGGGTGTGGTTTATCTCCACAAGTCATCTTCTGCTGTGATTATCACAGCAATCTAAACTTCATCTCTTCACTGGCAAGTTTCCAAACCCTGCCATGTTTTCATTGGAAACATTAAGATTCAGTGCTTACATTGGCTGAGTCCTTGGAAGGATGCTGTCTCTCTTCTCAAAAACCGTCTAAGATGTGCTGTTTGTTTGGTTTTCTTTTCTTGTTTTTAATCCAAGCTGGTTTCTTATTCCAATTCTGTAACAACCCTGGTAGCTCCCTTACAAATGCACCAGCACGTTATAAATAGCCCAGAAGCAAAGCTGGGCTCTCTAAAACTTTCAGAAAAAGTTTGTTCATTTGAATAGTACTTAGAATGCATTTGCACTTCCAACATGTCTTCAAATGATTTCACAGATGCCAGGAAAGCATCAGCTGTTTCAACCTCCTTCTGACTCCTGCTCTTCTGTTGCGGACATCTTTTATGGAAAATCCTTTCCTTAGGATTTTTCCTCCTGAGAAGCTGAGAGGCCTCAGGAACAAAATGTAAACAATGATTATCTGCTGCTGTGGAATGCAACAGGTGGGTCTTTGATTGGCCATGTTGGATGTTTGTAATTAATGGCCAATCACAGCACAGCTGGCTCGAACAGAGAGTCTGAGACAGAGCCTTTTTTAATAATTCTTTCTTATTCTGTTCTTAGCTAGCCTTCTGATGAAATCCTTTCTTCTATTTTTTTAGTATAGTTTTAATTTAATATATATCATAAAATAATAAGTCAAGCCTTCTGAAACATGGAGTCAGATCCTCGTCTCTTCCCTCATCCAAGAACCCCTGTGAACACTGTCACACTCTTCCCTCAGAAGCTGTGAGAGGAGCAGCACCATCACTTCCCATCCTCCTGGAACCAGAGAAAAACTGTAGTTGGTGTTTTCTCTGCTGGCCTTGCACTAAACTCTCCTTTCAGAAGTGCTGGATGGCCTCACCTCGCACCAAAGTCAAGGCAAGGTGAAGATGTTCAGCCCCTTTGCTGGATCAACTCCCTGGTTTCCAAGGCAACTGTTCTTGGGTGAGATTTAATGAGAAAGTGAGGACAACCACCAGGCCCTTTGAACAGGCAGGGGAAGGCAGAGCTCACAGAAATGATTGTGCTTTTCCAGGGAAAAGGACAGGCAGGTGGACGGAATGGACAATAAATTATCTGACATTTTAATGGGTTAACATGATATTGCAGAAAATTACCTGGATAAAGTGGCTCAATCCCTGTGGAGAAAAGTAAAATAAAAGAGGCATAATGGAAAGAGGGCCCATAAAAGGCTGAAATGGAGGTTTATTCAAACTGTCTGAATGGAAGTGAAAGGAGCAAGTTACAACCCTTGTTACAGCCTCTTAGCAGCAGTTGGTCTCAAAATGAATTGGGAAAAAATGTATCTGTGATAACCTGACATAGCAAAGCTGGTTGGGTAAGCTCCATAAAACACAGCCTTTATATCAGTGCCACAAATCAGAAGCTATTTGCAAGAGATTTTACAGCACATGCAACAGGTGCTTCTTGTTCTAATGTCAAGCAGTGTCATCTGTTACAAGAAAAGTGGAATTGTTGCTTGTATCCAAAATGTCTCAGATCATGTTTATGCTGTCTCATGCATTTCTTCACCCTGGAATTTTCCAGGTTTATTATAAGATGAGTAGACTTGCCCTTTAACATCAAGAAAGATCTTGTGAAAATAAAGACCTATCTATCCTCTGTCTGGTACAGGAGGGTTAAGGAAATATAGACTTCTAATTCTGCAAGAAATACTGATATTTTAATACTTTTCCCATTGTAATCATTCACCTTTTTCACTAGGATAAAGTCTGAGCCTTTTCAATTTGCTATTAGAAACCTTCTTTAAATAAAGTCAGTCTTGACATGAAAGCAGCTCTGTCCACCACTTCTCAAAAGGTTTGAGCAAACTGTAAGAGTAATTGAGTCTAACCTTAATAATAATGATGTTATGATTTTGAAAGCTCTATTTTTGGGAGATGAAGGTAGGAGAGTCATATAAAATCAACATAGAGATGAAAAAAACATTTTTTAAAATTAATTAAGAGATGTTCCAAGTTAAAACATTTTTATGTCAAATGGGGCATTTGTAATGATTTTTGTACCCCTTTTAAATGAAGAACTGGTGTTTTCAGACTGGGAAACAATTACTTCACAACTCAAAAGGAAGTATATATACCTTCAGAAATACTGAAATAAAATGTTCTAACTGGTGGATGGCTGGAAAAAAATTTTAAAGGGAATTTTTGACAGAAAGGTCTTCATCCATTCCACCCAATCAGAAATAATTATAGCCCTGTTGTCACCCTCTGCTACTCTGGAGTTGGATTTTGATGAATGAAGTGTTTATAGAGCTTTAAATAAAGTCAGGAGCTTCAACCTCATGACAGAAAGACACGAAGCCACTGTAAGGACAATTACAGAGCCAGTCTGCCTGGTAATAACCAGAGATATTGGGGGGAATGGTAAATATATGCCACCCTGAGCCAACAATAGAATTATTCAACTACAATTTCCACCCAAGAGCCACAGCCCTGCACAGGTTAAATCTCCAGGTGCTGCCAGGGTGAAATAAGAGAAAAGATGGAGATGGAGATGAAGGAAAAGCTTTTTCTATTGTTTTGGTGACTGTGGTACCACTGAGCCCAGGTAAAATGAAGGTAAGATGTCACCAGGTTAGATGTCACCTCCTCTGCTTTACAGGCAGACCCAGAACACCCAAAAAACAAAATGCACACATTGTTGGTCAGAGACTCCTGCAGGCTTCAGTGCTCTGTCTTTCAATTTGCAGGCCAGGCTTTACCTCCTTGTTCCCAATCTGATATTTCATGTATTTTTATGTATGGCTCCTTGTCACCAGTTCCACAGAGGGGTTGTGCTTTAATACAGTCACTGCAGGGAGAGAAGCGAGCGAGCAGCTCTCCCTCCAAGCACAATCCTGAAGGTCACAATTTTAGCATCCAGGAAATGTTTTTTTGGCTATGTCAGCATTTTTTTTGCCCATGCGCCTTTATGGATGACTTTAAAACAGTGTCTCCAACCGTAAAATTCCAGCAGTGTTTAATCTCACTGAGTATTTTCTTGGATGCTGTAGCCAAGATCACTTGGCTAATTCAGCTTGCAAAGTACTACTGGGAAGGAGTATTTATGGTAGTCCCAGCAAGGACAACCAAATTAGCTGTAGCAAGCAGCCAGCCTGAAGAAGAAATAAAACGAGGGAGCCAGATAATTTGGAACAAAATGTAAAAGACACACAAATCATTTAATAAAGGTTTTCCCCGGAGGAAACTTTCCAAGCAGCTGAACACCAGGACAGCTGAGAGAAATGAGGTCAATTGTGTTTAGACACAATGTGTACATTTTATTTTTTAATATGATCATCATTTGTCAAACTTTATGGGCCAGGTTCTTTCCTCAGATTAGCTGATACTGGAATTTAAGTCATTACAATAAGGTTTTGTCTTTAGCAGACAGGAAGGTGGAGAGAGTGATTTATTTCAAGGAAACTGTAAAATATTCACTGAGGTGGAATTGCATTGTCTAGAACTGGGAAATAAAAATGGAGTAAAAACAAGGAGCAGGATAGAATAACTCTGCTTTCCCAAGAAGTGCAGCAAACAAACAATACCTGTAATTCTTAAGCAGGAGCCTGGGTTAGAGAACTCCCTTGCACATAGGTTCAACATTACATATTTTGCATTCTCCTTGTTGAACTCATAAATCCAAGTCCAGACACACATAATAGAAGCATTGGAGTCCAGAAGTACAAGAGGTAAAAGGAACAAATGCCCTCATTCTCAGAATAAAAGTGCCTTTTCCATTTGCAGTAGAAAGGGAGCATTTGAAGAATTTGAATATGTGCTTTTATACAATGCTTTCATATTGCATTAGCCTAATAATAAACTCTGATTAAGAAAAAAAAAAAACGGAGCCAAGAACCAGAGCTGAAGCTTATTCATCCCCTCTGAAGCTGAGATTACACAATCTTCAGCAGAAAGCACAGCGGTATCCATGAGACAGCTCTGCTGCAAGATTCCAGCATGATTTTATCCTTTCTGGTTTGCATCCTCCTCAACTACCCTTCCTCTAAAATGAAAACAAACCAAAATGATTTTGTTCCATTCAGAATATGGGGAATCATATCCACAAACATGCACTGGAACAATCATAGAACGGCTTTGAATGGAAAGAACCATGAAAATCATCCAGTGCCCTCCCCTGCCATGGGCAGGGACAGCTTCCACCATCCCAGGTTGCTCCAAGTCCCATCCAGCCTGGCCTTGGACACTGCCAGGGATCCAGGGGCAGCCACAGCTTCTCTGGGCACCCTGTGCCTGGGCTTTACACCCTCACAGGGAAGAAATTCTTTGGTCTTGGCAAGAGACACTTGAGAAGTTTATGGATACATAAACTTGGATGGATCCAAGTTATCCATATATCCATCTATGGATGGATATATGGATATAGGGATGGACTGGACCCCACAACACCCACCAGAGGGATCAGGCCATGGACAGTGGGATCCCTGCACAAGTAGAGACATTTCAGCAAGGGAGTCCTCGTGTCCCTGGAAACTGTTCAACACAGAGATGAAAAGCTGTGAAATACAGAGCAGACAGAGCCAAGGCATGGCTGGGACTCATTTACTGCGAGTTTTTCCTCTTTTCTGGGCCACCAGGAAACAGCCAGTGAGAGTCCTGTTAATTAAAGAGGCTTTGTTGGCCATAAATCACATGGGCATTCCTGGGAAGGGGAAAACTCCTTCAGCAGCCATGGTTTCTCCTGTCTCCTGTTGGAGTTAAAGTGGCATCAAGGTGAGTCTGTGTTTGGCATAGAGGGTGAACTCTGATGGAAATCTGTCACAGACATCTTTTATGAAAAATCTTTTTTTTTTTGATTTTTCCTCTTGAGAAGCTGAGAGGCCTCAGGAACAAAATGTAAACACTTATTATCTGCTGCTGTGGAATGCAACAGGTGCATCTGTGATTGGTCTCATGTGGTTGTTTGTAATTAATGACCAATCACAGTCAGCCGGCTCGGACAGAGAGTCTGAGCCACAAGCCTTTGTTATCATTCTTTCATTTTCTATTCTTAGCTAGCCTTCTGATGAAATCCTTTCTTCTATTCTTTTAGTATAGTTTTAATATAATATATGTCATAAAATAATAAGTCAAGCCTTCTGAAACATGGAGTCAACATTCTCAACTCTTCCCTCATCCTCGGACTCCTGTGAACACTGTCACAGATATCCAGGGAGAAGGGAAGGGTTCTCACAGGGAAGAAACAAAAGCCAACAGCATCACTCCAAATGCACATCCCCCTGTTATCCTCCTGCCCACTGCCTTGTTGAACACATTGTGTGTGTGTTTGTGTTCTCTTTGAGGCCCATTTTTATTTAATGCCGCAAAGATGTGCTGCTTGGAGAGAGCACGAATCCTTTGAACGTGTAATTAGGGATGAGGGGGGCACTCTCTGCCTCTGCCCACAGATTCTCAGCTCACATCTGGGTGTGCCAGCTTCCCCCGGCACTGGGGGGAATGAGGATACCCTTGAGACTGGGAAATGAAAGCAGAGCAGCCTCAGATCTGCGCCCGCACCAAGCTGCTGAGGAACAGCAGTTTAGCTATGCTGATTTTTTTTTTCTTCTTTTTAATTGACATAGCCCTACATCCTTTGATCTTTGAAGGGCATGTTTATCCAACATTGTTCAGTGCAGCTACACTGCTTCTGGTTACAAATTGTGAGAGTCATGTTCTGTTTCAGTGAAACAATGGGATTTAATTATTAGCAGCCTTCAAAGACAAATGCAGGGCTCAGAGTCTTCTCTGATTACAAGGTCAGAGCAGCAGATCAGTGGTTGGGAGCAACAGAGTTAACAGTATTGTTTACATTATTCTGGGGAAAAAAAAATTCACTTCCTAATTTTGCATTCACTCTTCAAATTTTCTGTGTTTGTAAAAAAAAAAAAAAACCCAAACAAGTAATCAACACATAAATCAGAATCTTGATTGGATTTCACTTTAAGGTGAGTTTATTAAAGGTTGGTTGTCCTTATGAAATGCATGTACTGTGCTTGGATGTTAAATACAGGAACAGAGGGGACAGCTGCTGTCAGGAAGTCAAACAAGGTGGGCAAAATATTTATTATGGGCTTTAAAGATGGGGGAAACATTAGTTTAAAACTTTAGAAATATTGTTTAAAGGGGAAGGCACTGACATACTCTATTCAGAGGAGTAATTCACCACAAAATTATTGTAGGCATAGAATTAAGTCACCCACATGTGCTGGATTCTCCATTACTGGAATTTTTAAGAACAAGCAAGGTAAAGATCTTCCAGGAGCAGTTCGTGGATGCGTGGGTACAGATTTCTGAAGTGAAGCTTGACTCAAGTTCCCCGACATAAACACAGCTTTGCTTGTCATGATAACCCAAGGAATATCAGCTTTTACTGCTAATAATTGTAGATCCTAATCATTTAAGCATATGTGTCATTCCAAGCACAAGATGTGCTCAGTTTATGGCCCAGTGAGACATTAAATTAAAGATAAATCATCTCAGACATCAGTCTCTGGAGAAGTGTGTGTTTTCGCTCTGTCTGTGGCTACTAAGATAGAGGTAGTCTAGACTGAAATCCACTAAAGAAAGTGAAATGAATCTAAAACTTAGCTTGCAAATTGTTGTTTCCAACAAATTTTTGGCTTGAAAGTTTTCATAAATAATCTGCTAATTGTCTTTCATTTATTTTCCTTTTTCTCTTAATGAAACAAGACCTGAACACACCGCACAAGGACCCCAGAGTATGAGATAAAGCACAGAAAATCAAAAAGAACTATAAAAGTACCTTAACTTAGAAAAAGGGCTATTTTAGAATTATATTTCACTTAATTGGAGTTATTGGAATAATTCATCTTGTCCTTTGACCATCCTGCTGTGATAATAGCACAGGTTGAGGAGAGAGGTGTCGTCTCCAGATGTGAGAATTCATTATCCTCATCAGATAATCCTCATCACAGAGCCCAGCAAGGATTTTGTCCATTGGCTCAGGGACCCCATTCTAACCTGATTTTCACCACTGAGTGGCACCCAATGCTACTCCATAAAGGATAAGAGAAAAGCAGGACAAGAAGCTTGTCTGGATAAACCTGGTGTAGAGTGTAACCAAAATGGGAAAAATGGGGGGAAAAGTGAGCAGAGCTATGGAAATAAAAGAATTTGCACCTAGTGCAAACCTCAGCTTCTGGACTGGTGACACCAAAGGTGTAAAGAATGACAAGCATTAGGGAGAAGAAGCTGATAAAACTTTGAAGTTCCTGTGTGTTTATTATTTCAGATATAAGCCTTCCCTCTGTATGCTGAATTGTGTTCTCAGTTTATAAGGTTTGGACTTGATGATGAAGGATGAAGGTTTGACTTCCTCTTGGAGGTCTTTTCCAACATTAATGATTCAATGGGTCTATGAAGTTTTTGGTTTTGCTGGTTTTGGTTTTTTGGTTGGGTTTTCTTTGTTAGGTTTGGTTTGGTTTTTTGTTTGTTTGTGGGGTTTTGTTTGGGTTTTTTGGTTGGTTTTAGTTTTGGGTTTTTTGTTTTTGTTTGAGGTTTTTTGGTTTGTTTTATTTTTTAAATTTGATTTATTTGTGGTTTTGTTTGTTTGTTTGTTTTGTTTTGTTTTAATTTCCAGCTGAGAGAAATGAGAAATTGTTGTGCTTGCTGCTTTTTTAGCTTGACTGTGAGCATGAACAGAAGCCTGGACATGGAAATATTTGGAAGGAACAAGATCTGGTGTATATTTGGGTCTTCAGGTTGGTAAGTAGCTAACAAAATTTTATTTCTATGTCATCATATTAGGCAGAAGTGTCTAATTTCCACTGAGACAAGCACCTTTCCCCACTTCTTTCCTCATCTCTGGAAACCTTTGGACCTGTTTGAAGACATCACACGGCATAGTGTCTTGTTCTGGGATTAGTCCCACTGACCTGCTGGGTTAGAGGAAATCAGGTTAAAGGAAATCAGGTAATTAAGACCCCAATCCACTGAGATTCTTTATTCATTAGCTGCCCAAAGCCTGGTCCAGCAATTAACATTGTATTCCCAGTACAGCCACCAGAGCAAACCATGCCAGGGATTTTATTTCAACACATTGAGACAGTTCCCATACTGCTGGCACACCCAACATCCACATTTCTGTTTCAGGAGGCGAAGTCCTCAAATCAGCATTCATGGCTTGGGCTGCAATTCCGTGGCAGAAGGGAGGATAAAACTTGGAGATAAAGCAAAATCCCCAATCGTATTTACTGCCTTGAAACCACAGCTGGACAATGTCTGGGTTTTTGCTTGGTCAGGCTTTTCTTTGCTGTGTGTTTTGTCTTAGTGGAGTCCTGTGACACAAACCAGCCTCATTCCACAGAGCATCCCTCATAATCCCAGTCCCCAGAGACATGATCATAGTGGAGATTACAGCAACAGGCAGTGTTGCTGTTTCAAACACTTCAGTCACTTTCCCACCATGACTTTTGATGTTGTTTGTGCTGGGATTGCTCTGTGTGTGTCAGGCTGTGAAATCTCACAGCAGGAATGATGATTCTTAGTTGATTACACCAGTTCACAGATCTGTGTTCAGCTCCTGTCACACACTTGCCAACAGGATTGTGGGCAAGGGTCAACTCTGTTGGGTTTTTTTTTTCAAGCACATAGTTCCTAAATCTTATTAATTTCAGTGCTCAAAAATCTTGTAAAATTTGGCTTTTGGGCACAAAGCACCCTATGGAATTTTAAGCACTCACCTGAGGACATTATTTCTGAAAATCCCTCTCTACTGCTGGAGAAAACAGTTATTTTCAGAGGGCAGTGCAAACTAACCAAGAGATCACTGTCCCTTTGGTGTATAGGTGTGCTTTGCACACCAGATATGCACCTACAGACTCATAAATAAAGTTAAATTGAAAGAAAATGTGGGGGGTTTCCCTCAGAATTCATCCTACCTTTAGATTGCTGAAGGATCTGGAGTATCAGGAGGAGCTGATGGAGCTGGGAAGGGGCTCAGCTTGGACCAAAGGAGGCTCAGGAGGAACCTTGTGTCCTTGCACAACTCCTGGCAGGAGGGGTCAGCCAGGTGGGGTCAGGATCTGCTCCCAGAGAGAAAGTTAGGATAATAGGAAAAGGCCTCAAGTCATGCCAAGGAGGCTAAGATGGAATATTAAGGAAAAATTCTTCACAGAAAGGGTTTCCAAGCATTGGAACTGGCTGTTCAGGGAAGTATCATCATGAATATAGGAAAGATGGTGGAGTCACCATCCCTGGAGGGATTTGAACAAGCCATGCAGATGTGGTGCTTAGAGATATGGTCTTGTGGTGGGTTTGGCAGTGCTGGGGGAATGGTTGGACTCAAGGAGATTGGATTCCTTTTCCAGCCTCAATGATTCTATGATTCTGTGAAATGGGAAGGTTGAGGCATCACTGACACCTCTTGCAGTCGCTGAGAATGTGGAGGGGAGCTCAGCTCATCTTGGACAGCTGTCCTCAAGTCCTTTCAGGCAGCTGAAGAGAACTCAAGCACATGGCAATTAGTACTTTAATTAGGATCAGCCTGAGCAAATACTTAGGCAAAATACACTGCTCTGCCTTAAAGGCTTCAATCTGAGCTGGCATCAACGTCAGTGTGCAGAATTGTTTGTGCTGGATCATGGACAAAGTTACCAAGAAGCCAAATTCAAAGGAATGAATGGAGCTGGGCTGGGAGCAGGAAGAAGGCAATGAGTATTTTTGCAGGCTAAAGACAATTACTTTAATTATATCCACTCACAAAAAATAGAAACGTTGCTGAGAAACACTCTGTTTCAGGCTTCTGTTTTCCAAACCTAAATAATGATTTTCATATTCACTGACAAGCTTCATTAGCTGGAATTAGAGGGTGTTTCTTACACCCTCTCCTGTTCCCCCATCCCCAGTACTTTGTCCCTCAAGAAACAAGGGGAGAGAGATGTTTGAGATTCCTGTGTCAGCATCTCAATGGAAAAAATAGAAATGTGTTTTTCCTGGAGAATGAAAACCACAGCAGTAACTTACACCAAAAAAAAAAAAAAAAAAAAAAAAGCAAACACTCAATAAAATGAACTAGAGAGAAGAAAAGAATATCCTGAGATAATTTGGTGGGGGGTGAATTTAGCCCAACAGCAGGAAAAAATTACCAAGACCTTTGTCTTTGTCCCAACAGTGAAATGTGTGCTGTGTCTAATTACAGCAACTTTGGGGTTTTTTATGGGTTTTTTTTCACCACCATCCATCCATCCCCTCGTGCTGACAGACAGCTCACACCATCCCAGATTTGTGTCAGGGAAGGGAATGCAGTGCCAAACGCTGAGTAAATGTCTGCTGCCCTCCTGTGTACATCCTCAAAAAGACAGAGGCGAGGATGCCAGAGCCCTGCATCTCTCTCCCAGCACGTCCAGCTCCCGGGGGAAGGGCTGGCGTGCAGTGTCTGTTGTGTATTTACCCCTGATTTGTGTCGCTGATTCATCCTCGAGTTGATCCAGATTTCTGCTAATGGATCCGGGCCCTTGTTCTGCCACCATCTGCTTGTTGTGCCCGCTGCTCCCCGTGTGTTTAGATGCCATTTGTTGCTCCATGTGTGCAGGGGGGGAAAAGGGATGGGAGTGGAGGAAAGGCTGCTCTGGATTGTGCTCTCACAGTGACAGAACCCAGGACATCCCTCTGGCTGTCCTGGATGGCTCAAGCCCCTGCCAGGGGGCTCAGAGACCTTGGCACAGAGCCCAAGAACCCTGTGACTTTGATTATGACCCGTGGAAAAACAATTACCAACCTTTATATGAATAATTGCAAGTCAAGAGAGTTAAAGTAGAATAATAGTTTGTCTCGGGGTGAAAAATAGATTTTTGAGGTTTTTAGAATGGAGGCCTGGGGTCCCAGGATGGAGGAATTTGGATGTGCCCTGTCCTTCTTCCTTCTTCTACCGAGCCTCCATCTTCTGGGTGATGTTGGCACTTTTGGATTGGTTTAAGGCAGAAGCTCACTGTCTAACATAGGTGATAGGTATTGGGAAGTTATGGTAAATATTGTACACATAGTTTTTAGTATAAAAAGATAACACCACCCCACAGGTGGTCAGAGTGCCTCTGTCTGACCTGCTGAACAGATCTCAGCAGGCCAGAGAAAGAATTTTATAGATAAATAAAAAACAACCTTGAGAACAAGAACAGAAAAATCCTGACTCCTTCTTTGACTGCTGGGCTGGGAAAAGAGATTTGTACATATCTCAGAGTCACTCTGACCAGCAGAGATTCTGAGACCACAGCAGACACAATAAGGGTGGGTTTGGAGCCAGCTCCAGCAGCTCGAGCTGTCCAGAAGGTTTTATCCCAAGGCAATGGGCAGCAGTTTCCATCAGGAGACTGATAAAGCACAGAAATCACCTACCCAAGGCAGTTTTGGCGCCTCCACCACTGGAAAAAACAAGTCATATTTTCAAGAGCCACTTCAACAGAATTCACCAGGTAGTTCACAGCATCACTGCCCCTCAGCCCTGAGATTTGTGATTATTTATTTGCAACACAATTAAATGGAAACTGAGTGTTCTGTGTGTTCATTTCTGACTGTGAGAACTCTTGCATGAAGTTCCCGGCTTGCCTAAGCTCAGATCAGGGTTTAGGGTGAGTGCCTTGATGGTGACCATTTGGCATATTATTCTCAGCACTGGTTGGAAGTAAGAAAATAACATGATGTCCAAAAATACTAGGCCAGTGAAAATGCCTTTTACATCTTATTAAATCTACGATATATATTCATTTTCTGCCTCCTTTCAGTGCTTATGAATAATACAGAGAATGAATTTTCACCTGGAGAGATACAGAGGGAAGTAAAAGAGGAGATATTTAGATTAGAAATTAGGAAGAAATTCTTCCTGTGAGGGTGGTGAGGCCCTGGCACAGGGTGACAGAAAAGCTGTGGCTGCCCCATCCCTGGAAGTGTTCAAGGCCAGGTTGGATAGGGCTTGGAGCGACCTGGGATGGTGGGACGTGTCCCTGCCATGGCAGGGGGTGAAACTGGATGGATTTTAAAGTAATTTCCAACCCAAATCATTCTATGTTTCCATTATTTTTCTTAGGGTAAACACACATACACACACACAAAAAAAAAAAAAAAAACTGTTGCATTCCACTATGTAAAACAAATTTCTTTGCTCCTTATTGTTTCCCAGCCATGGGGGAAATTTATTTTATTCAAGACACCTCCCTTCTGCATGGTTTCAGCTTTGGAAGGTGAGCAGGTTTTGAAGAGTTAATTATAAAGCTCCTGTTTGAGGAGCATGAGACCAAATCTTGTTCTTAGATGTGCTGCCCCCCTTGGTTTCAGCTGAGTGAATTCAATAGGAAACCCAGTCATGCAGGTGTAATCATGGGAAAGAAAAGCACAGCCTAAGGGTTCAACAGTTCTAAAACATCCTTAAAAATGATGACAGGTAAAAAACCCCAAAACCAGTAAGCCTGGGAACTTAGGTTTGTTCCTGTGTGGTTGGGATGAATTCAAGTGTTTCATCACAAATACATCTAAAATGAAAATAAAACTAAACTTGCACTTTTATTTTATTTTACTTTGGTGTCAAAATTCATGGGTTAGAGGGATTTCTTTTATAGAATAATTGTTTACATGGTAGAGCTCTGCAAAACACCAAGACCTGGCAGTTTGATCCATGAATTTCCTGAGCTGAAAAGCTTCCCTGTGGAATAAGATCAGGACAGAACAGCATGACATTACACAACTGTCGTGTAGAGTTAAATAAACAGTGTGGG